AACGCCCCTTAGAAATCAAGTAGTGCAGATCTCTTCAATGCTCCAGTGGGTTCAAAACTAGATCTAGAAAAAATGTTTAAGAATATGTATGCTGTATATAAGTACATCTGTCTTTACTCACACTATCTCCTTTTTAAAAAACAAAATACATGGTACCATACATTGTGTTCCCTGGTTTGTTTGCTTTGCTACTTCTTTGAGAAGTAAGTCACAAAGACACTCGAAAATAAAGACTTGCACACACACAGCTAAAATCATGGGTGGCACATCAAAACAGAAATTACAGAAGTGCATAAGGACAAAACTGAGAGCCCATGTCCCTTCACAAGGAGTGTTAGCTGCTTTAAATATTCCTTCCTTTTGATAGTTTCCACCCCAAACAAGTTATTTTCTGTAGGCAGAAGTTTCTGTTCTACAAGCCACTCCCAAGTAGCTGACACTGAGACTCAATATTATCTATAACTGCTTGGCTAACAGCTCAGGCTTGTTACTAACTAACTCTTCCATTTTAAATTAACCCACATTTCTCATCTACACTTTGACATGTGGCTTGGCACCTCTTCTCAGTACTCCATGTCCATCTTGCTTCACAGAGACATATATTCATACAGTTTAAAGGAATATTCCACAATTTTCTGTTGCAAAACAACAGAATTAGGAGTTCTGGCCTGTTAAGTTTCAAACCCTGGCCAAAGGCTGAGGTGCCTAGTTAGCATATCAAAGCCTTCTGGCTGCAAGGTTCTCCCAGCACCCCTCAGTTCCTATCTGTTAGAGAGTGTCTGTCATATCTCACCATCTACCCTGAACTCTCCATCCCAAGGGTTGGGCTGTCTTTCCTCAAGGGGCTCTTCTCTATGTAATCCAGACATTGTAGTTACCCACCCTTTTTTGTATCTTTGGCCTCCTGCTTGCTGGACCCCGCCCCTCTCTCCCCTCTCACTTCCCCTCACATTCTCTTTACATGGCCCAGCTCAGTCTGGTCATGTTCACTCTGGACTCTCCCAGATGTCCCTGCCTGTGGCTATGCTCTCCTACAAATGCATAATAAACTTCCTCCTCCACCATACGTAGGGCCAGCCATGTCCTTCCTTTCTTTTGTGTTCCTTTTTTTTATTCATGGCCCAGTGTTATCAGTCTTTGATTTGTTTGCAGGCATGCTGGTATGGGTTGTTAGATATAATTTGAATTTTAAATGTTGTCTGTGAATTCTCTGTGAAAGTCAATGTGTTGGTCAAGTAAAATATGTCTGACTGGCACACACTGAGAGCTTGTCCTTGTACCCTTGTAGAAATCAGCCCATGGTTCAGATCCCGGGACCCTAGCTGCAGCCCACAGTGCCCAAGACAGAATGCATGTAGGAACCTGAATTCTTAAGGAGTTTCTTATGTAATCTCATTTAAAAACCAGGAAAATCACATAGAAAAAAGAAAAGAAAACAGATACATAATCACAATTGAATTCCAAAGCATAATAATTCATTAAACCCATTGCTTTATTGGTGGGATTGGATTCTATCTAGAGTTTTTTTTTTTCTTTCTAATAAATACTTCTGTGGCTGTTGTGGAATTTTTCAAGTCAGATTATTGACTCTAGCTTAGGGTTTAGTAGGAAGTTCCCATTTTAAGGACCAGGAGATAATGTAAACTTACCTTTACCATGTTACATAAAGTCCAAGCTGCAGTGTATGTGACTTCCTTCACTCTATCATCTACATTTCTAGGCATTAGGAGCGATTTTTTGACTTCATGGTGAACAGACTTTCAGTAGGTGACAATGGCAGTGTCACTGGCAGGGAGGACAATGTCTTCTACTCTGTCTTTCTTTGATACTGTTAACCATCACTTCAAATTCCTGCTTCTCTTGTCGAGGACATCCCTGTGAGGTTAGCAGCTATCTTTCACATGCTGCTAAGACACCATATTTCCCTTGGGTTATTTTCACATTGCTCATAATTCTGTGTAATGGTATATAGAATATCTTATCCTGATCTATTTGATGTAGTCCTGTTTAAAAAAAAAAAAAACTAGGTCATCAACAATTCAACTATATAGTATTTTAGTAAAACAAATTACAAAAATTGCTAGTTTACTTAATAATATAATTTTGAGGATTTTTAAAAATTTTAATTATTCTAGTAATTTTATTTTACTTACTTTTTTTCCTCAGAGTGAGGGTATGTATCTTTCTGTATCCTTGACCAGAATTGCTTTGTCGACAAGGCTAGCCTCAAACCTGCAGCCGTTCTCTTGTCTCTGTGTCCTGAGTGCTGGGATTACAGGCATGGGCACCCTGCCTGCATTCTTAAAAAAGCAGGGCTACAAGAGTTTGTATTTTTCTAGACATTTTTTAGAAATTAAATTACTTAACAATGTGCATTTTCAATGTCATAAGTCAACTGTAGAAAAACCACTAATGTATATTATTTTACTTCATAAAATAGCAGCAAAGGAACCATAAAGCTTTAAATAGCTTTATATGCAAGTTAAAAAACTTTCCAAAAAAAAAACCAGGACTTGGACTTGGGGAGGGGGTGTGTTCTTTCAAGAGCTCTTATTTCAAAACCCAAATGGGATTTCAAAATACAAGTAAATAAATGTCAAAGCCTCTTGGCCTCTGTGCTGCCATTCTATGTTTGAAATATTGCCAAAATAAAATTTTCCACTCAAGAAGGACTGAAGTGTACTAAACTGATTTAAAAAGACAGTCTCAAAAAAGTGGTGGAAACTTGTGCAACCCCAGAGTACCTCTTCCTACATATACAGCTGCTTCTGCAGACAGTTTTCATCTCTGTAACACGATTGAAAATTAAATTCTCAACCCTTTGGTTACCTTCTGCTATTGGATCTATTGGATCTATTGTTCTTTTCCTCAGTGACAAGCGTAGACCATAGGTAGGCGCCAGACTACACCTGAGTATTTCATTAAGTAGCCAGGAGCAGAGCAAGCAAGAGAGAGAATGTCTCATTGACTATGAAGCCAGAGAAAGCTTCGGTGAGAAGGGGTTCTGGTTCAGATAGATGTCTGGTCACAAAAAGCACATTCTTAGCTAGGTGGTTTAGTCTGCTTAGAAGAGCTGTAGGTAGAGAGAATGGCAGCTTCGTCATGTAAAAACATCACTTTCAACTACTGTGAGAGTCAGAGCTCCAAGGGGGAGATGTGGACCCCCTGCTGCACGATGGACCATCCTAAGAGGTGAAAGGGCCTGTGTAGGGTTGATGGACTTCGGAAGCCGGAACTAAAACTGCCAGTCATTGAAAACTTGGACTAAAAGAAGCTGGAGAGAACATTACCCTGGGATAAATCAAAAGTAGAATTGGAAACAAAAGAACATTAAGAGGAGAACGCTGAATACTGTCTGTAGAGACAGCTTGCACGCTTAAACAGCCTCTTGCTGAAGAGCAAGCAGAAGTTGCTAGTCCTTTCTAAACTTTCTCCCCACTCTTAGTTCTCTGTTCTTTTGCAGAATTTTCTGCAGGGCACCCCGGAATTGTCCTTTGTGAGTGTTCTTTTTACCTGGACTTCGTTCCCCTTACTCTCTCAGACCTCTTAGACCCAAAGTCCTTTTCCTCACCTACTGTCATTTGTTACCAAGGGTGCATAGGGGAGGTAGTGACGAATAAAAACTTTTGTGGTGTTGGGAACTTGGGCCTTTGTTGTATCGTTTTCCTTGCCCCTCCACGCCCCTAGCCACGTGACCCAGAGAGATTGGGTTTTTTGTGAATGGAGCCGAAAGGTGGTTAAGGGGAAGGCACGGGCAACACCCCCTGCTCGAAAGTAGCCAATCCGCTGGCGGAGCGCTGCGGGGTCAGCAATAAACAACAATGGACTGGAAATCTACGGTTCCTCATTGGCTGCAGGGATAGACTCACGGGGCCTTTGGAGAAGCTCCGCCCTTTCCCGGTTGCCCTGGATACCTGTCGGGTTCTGGCCTCCGAAAAGGGCTTTGGAAACTGTTGCTGTCTTGTCCCGGTTTGCAGGTCGGCTGGGTCCCCGCGCTATTGTCCCCTGCTCTGGTTGCACCCCCACAAAGCACTCCAGCTTCGCGGCGCCCCTAACGCCGCGGTCGCCCAGGCTCTGATGCAGCTCTCTCTCAAAGGGGACGTGCGAGGTGCTCGGACTAGTCTCGGGACAAGTATTGTGTGTGCCCTCGAAAACTACCCTTTCCCCAAGAGGAAACGCAGAGTGTTTTGTCATAGACCTCGCTCTTCCTCGGCGGGTCTGGAGTGCCAGGCGCGCACGCTCCCGTTTGAATGTCTCCACCATGTTCCATTTAAGGAAAGAAACTTTCAGATAGAAATAGAGAACTGCAGCACGTTGTCAACGGGCGAAACAGCTGCTGGAAAAGTCCTCTAGTCACCAGCCTAGGTCGCCGCTAGGGTCTCGAGTGACTTTCAGCACCATGAGGCTCCGGGTCCCTTCCTCCCTTCCTCCTATCCCGGGTGGGACAGCAGCTGGGGGGCGGGAGGGGGGACATCCGAGCTAAGCCCCGTGGGCAGGCGGCTTCAGAGATGTCCTTGCTTCCAAACGTCCCATCATTGTCCTTGTAACCCGAGCTCTCCCCGCTCTGCCCTCCCCTCCTTGGTGGAGGAAGTGAAATCCTCAAGTACAGTAAGTGACACTCTCCGCCTCTCTGTATACATAACAAAAGCTCCGGAAACGGCGGGTCGGGGGTGGGTGGGTGGGGGACACATCTGAACTACCCAGTCCTCCCCCACCCCTCTGTGGCCTGCAGGAGCTTTCTTTTTTTTCTCAGCACCCGCCAGAGTGAATCTGATTTTTATACTTTCCTCCCCTTCTCTGCCCCGTACTCCTCCGGATCCTCCCTCCCGATACCACCTCTCCTAAGAAGCAGCTTCTCCCGCTTGCTTTCCTTTACAGTATCTTTAAATCCTACCGACAAAAGGAGGTCGCTTGAGTTGAGAATGTATTTCTTTTAAAGGTCCAATAATCCCTATAGTGTTTGGTTAGTGCTGAAAAATGAGAAAATAGCTTGGGCCGAAAGCTGGTGGGGAGCGAGGCTGGAGCGTGCGGTGGGCTCCGGGTCAGAGGTAGAGAAGAGGGATTAGGGACACTCGCTTTGTAGATCTGTACCTGAGCCTCACGACCGGGCTTTAAGGACATCTGCCTAATAATGGATCAAACACGCCAGCAAAGAGAACTGGTGGGCTGGGTACACTAGGTTTCAGTATCCCCCGGGTCTTGAGCAAACAGCGAGTTAGAAAGGTTTCCTTGGTGGCTTTTCTGGGTGCGGACCCTGCGCCTCCCCGCAGAGCGGTCGCGTAGGCAAGAGGGGCGCAGGAGACCCAAGGGAAGGGGCCGAAAGCCGCCTGATTGACAGCCCGAAATCTGATCTTGTGAAAGAGACGTGGAGCCAATGGGAGGCAGCGATCCATCAGTTTGGATTGGAGGCCCCTGGAGGAGAAGTAGAGGAAAAACCACCGAATTGAGCTCGGTCAGAGGCGCTTTCGGCTTCCAAGGGGAAGTGCTGGGCAATAATTAATGTTTTTATTAAATTTGGAGGGATTTTTTTGCAGCCGTTCGCCTAGCGTGGCCTTCAGGTGGGTCTTTCCAACAACTTTTTATGTCTCTCCAGATAATTGCATGGTTGTGGGTTGCAAAAACTATCCTTATGAAAGAGGTGTCTCCTTCTCTTTAGTCCCGTTAGGTGAAAAGCAAGTCTCGTTGATCGCCATTGCTAGTTTTGCACACGTTTGCGAATCAGAGCTGCCTGGGATACACTGACTGAGCAGGGAACGTCCAGATTGTAAATAAATACACTGTCTCTTGTTAGGATTTTTTGATACGACCGAAAATATGTAAATTGCGAACTCTCTTAGCTCTCTTTGGATCCAGGTGAAGAAGGCGGCGTAGGGGAGGGTTATTTTTGTGAATGGGACTGTCGAGGGCAATTAGCTATGCAAATGCAAGAGCTTCATTCATGATTTTTTAAAGCCTAAAAGCCATCTTGTTCCCCTCTAGGTTGATAGAAGTCCAGATCCCGAGGAAATCTCCAGCTAAATGCTCAGAATATAAAACACTGAGCTAATATTTGCGAAGAGCAGCAAAATGGATGGATTTTATGACCAGCAAGTGCCTTACGTGGTCACCAACGTGAGTGATCAGTTCGAAAGTTGCTGTTTATAAACTTGACTCGGACGGGGGTGGGGAGAGCGAGAGATGCGAAGGGAGGGGGCAGGGGGTTGGGACTGCAGACACTTTATCTGCTTTGTTGCCACTGTAGGGCGACTCTGCTTCTTGAAGACCCATCTACAAAATGAGCTTACCTTTGAGTGATTTGGATAAGGCATAGTTTTGTTTTAAGACCCCTTCTGGTCAAAGTGCCCACGATGAGTGGAAGAGGAGACGGAGGGCAGCTGCAGCTGTACTCAAAGTTTGTGGCTGGGTTTGTCTGCCACATTGAAAAGAACGAAGTTGAGACAAATGCTGACACTTTTTGTTTACATGGGGTGTCTTGGGAGGGGGTGTTGCTTTTTTCCCCTCTCATTTCCTCGCTTTTTCAGTTTTCCACTCTTGGGGCTTCTCTTGCTGCGGGTGGGGGTGTTGTCTGAGAGAGAATGGAATCACTGTTTTAATCTAGAGTTGATTTAGTAAAAAAAAAAAAAAAAAACAACATTAAGTGTTCTAGCTTACTGTGTCGATGCTGAGATTACATGTAACTATGACGAGAATAAACAGGAGTGTTAGATCCGCTCTGGGAAGCCACTCTCCTTTGCTGTTGAACTCAGCCTGAGCTCTCACTGTCCAAGTCAGACAATACACATTGGAGTTCTCCTATGAACGCCAATGTTCTTTTTCTACTCAGAGAGAGGATCCAGTCGGCTTAGGTTATGTATGCATGTTTTTTTTCCATGTGTGACATCTGAGGTTTATATTTTAAAGGATTTTATCTTTCCCTTTGTAGAGTCAGCGTGGGAGAAATTGTAACGAGAAACCAACAAATGTCAGGAAAAGAAAATTCATTAACAGAGATCTGGCTCATGATTCAGAAGGTGAGGTTTGACTCTGAGCTGAACCCCTCTCTTACTGACACCCTCCAAAGAAGAGGCCCATTTCAATCTCACTAAAAATAGTAAACATTGAAACTCCTGAATTTAACATGGACTTTTCACGCAATCATTCCCACGCTCAGTTTGCCTTGGAGACTATTTTATGGTCTGGTCACAAACTAATGAAAGAAGGAAATTAACACCTAACAGTGACCTTCTTTTAAACATTATTTCGTGTTTGTTCTTGTCCATATGGCATATAACTGTTAATCCCCTACACTGAGGTAACAATTGAAAACTATCTAACAGCCTGGGACAAAGTAAGCAGTTATGCACACTGCTTACGTTTTTCTTTCAACTTTATTACAAGTTAAACAATATAATTGAAGCCATATACTACTGTTGAAATTTTACGAGTGAGTTTGATGACTATATTGTGAAGTCATAACATCTTGTTAATAGGCCTTGAAGTGTTCATTAGATCAGACTTCAGGCTTAATGAGTAGTTATTATATTATTTGGTAAATGAGGCTTCAGATTCTTCTATAAACTGTTGGTAAAAGGTCAATATATTAGGAATTATTTCAACTCTGTGGGGCATTCATACCGGACTGAAGAAACTTAGACTCAGTTACCAAAGTTCAGTTTGAATTTAAATTAAATGTACTGAATTCTAAAATTTCATCAAATTTTCATTCTTATTAGATGCCTCCCTCCCTCCAAGCCCACCCCACGCCCCAAATGTCAGAATACAGTTTGGAATTGATAATAAAGCAAAGCCAGGGCACTGTCTGTCTTCGACTTTTGTAAGTCTGCGAATGCAGAAGTTTTTCTTTAAATGTCTGGATGTGAAGTTGCCCCTGTTAGTGTCGAGGCATTAGGCTGAAAAATATAACTTGGGAGTTGACTCAAGCTCTGTTGGGACTTTGTTTATAAACTTAGAAGATGTTTTGTCTTTCTAATCTTTACCCTGGTCCTATTTTAGCAAGAGTTAAGTGTACTTAGGAAAGGTTTCTGTATGTAGATAATCTTTAGTTCAACACCTGGGTGAATTTTAATGCATGTTTGTTTTTCATTCTCTCTGAGCTTACTTCTTAATTACTTGTTAAAGAGAAAAAGAAGATAATTGATATTATTTAGTTGTCTAAAGAGATCTCCTAAGTGTCACCTAATCGATGTCATAAGTAAGCAGGATTATTCAAATACTTCAGCGATGACTCCTGTGTTCAGTTGATGTTGTACTGAATGCCAGCATCATGACAAACATTTTCAGTTAATGAAGACTGCAGCCTGTCGAGTCTTATGTGTCTTTTCCTTGCTTTTTAGAACTCTTTCAGGATCTGAGTCAGTTACAAGAAACATGGCTTGCTGAAGGTAAGGCAGAAAAAAAAATGTTTTAAAGGGGAAAAGCAGCTGTAGAAGGGGATGGAGGGAATCCTGAACTTGCTGTCTTAATGTTCAACCCAATTAATTGAGCTCTAAAAGAGCCACCTCATGTGTCATGCATACATTAGAGCCTCTGATGAGCTTGTCTTTGGGGACTCTGGGGCTGCACTACCCAGTGTCATCACAAATTACCAGGAGAAATTGCTTCCAGCTCACAATCACATCTGCTTTTGGCAAGAACTAATGCACCAAGACTTCAGGTTCTAAGTCTCTGTTCAGATTTTAATTGCAATTGATCAGGTTTATATTATTGTACCTCGAGAGACTTCGAGCCAGAACCGGCTGGCTTGCTGTTTCCTTTAGAGCAGCACATATGATTATTTGGTGTTCTGGTGGAGGACTTCTCTGATGGCAGAAATTAGTTTCTCTGGGCTCATCAGGACGGGATGCTTCAAGATTTAAGTGCAGGTGTCTTCTTCCCTCCGTGTTCACAGCACAGAACCTTAGGTGTGTATCTCACAGTTAGGAAATCTGTGGGTTTAAAGCCAATCTTTTAGTGGGAGTTGAAGATTTTAAAACTGTTTTGTGTGTTATGAAGCATGTAATGTTTGTCGAAGTTTGACTTTTGATGTCTTGTCACTTTTATTAGGATTTAATGTGGAGACATTTAATGGCATTTTGGATTTTTTTAAAAAAAATTCCACGCTACAACCTATTATATCTTTTATTGTGTGCAACTTTGTTTATAGGGACAATGAGATGTGACTTAGTAAAGCTTGACATATGTTCAGATATGCTTAAGGTAGAAGGATTTTTGTTGGTATCTACAATTTTAATATTTTCTTTTGGAATTGCCATGTTTGTGAGATGTTATTTTACAATTTTGTGTGTGTGTGTGCGTGTGTGTGTGTGTGTGTGTGTGTGTGTAATGAGAAAGTTGCTGATATTTAAATATTTAGCATATTTTGTTAAATATTTAGTATATTATGATACATATATATGTATATATACTTTCTGTGGGGAATCTGACTCTGGCAACCGATTTTCAAGATGGTTTAAAGTGAACGGGAGAGTCTCCACATGGAACCCAGGACTGCTCTAGCTGCTTTGAGGTAGACAGATGAGCTTTTAGCGACGGTCTTGTATGCAGTTGATCAAGTTGCTCTTAGCATGTAAACAAGTTTCTTTGTCTTGCTGATAATTCTAGTTCTTCAAAAGGCTTTTACAATCTTAAATGATTCAAAATCATTTAAGTTAAATAGCTCTTAATTATCCTTTGAAAGGGGGATTGCATTTATATGTTAATGAATGGTAAGTATTCGTTAAAGTTTTGTTTTTTAAATTGAAGGTCAGTTTTGCTTGTCTCTAAATGAAACTTACTGCAATAGATTACTTAGTATTGCAACATAAACCATATATTGAAACAGCTAATTCATGAAAAATCGCAGAGGTTCTTGCATTCACTTTTATATGTCGGGTTTGCCAAGTTGAAAGTTATGTAGAATTTTGTTTATTCAAGAATTTACTTGCTTATCCAAAATAAGTTATCATACTTATCTTAATTGTCGCGGAAGGTTTATTGGTTCTTAAGATGTTTAGATTTGAAAACTGAATCCAAGTCAGTGCACTGGCTGGCAGATTTTGAATGTGCATAGCAGCTGTTTCTGGAATTTTAAAATGTGGATCTGTGGCAGACTTTTATCATTTTCAGTACATTTTCTTTCTTTCATTTTTCACTTATCCCTTGTCTTATTTGTGTCTTAGGCTTCAGATAAGAGAGTTGAATAATTTATCCGAGTTTGTCTTTTAAAACAGTATGGAATATTCTTATCTCTTCATTACCTGCAAATCAGCTCTGAAGACTTATCTTTATAAAAAGTAAACCTAGATAAGGACTAATGTATTTGGAGGAGCCCGGGCTTTTACTTAGAAAATAATTCATAAGCTTAATTAAATTCAGAAATTAAGTTGAAGTTTTTTATTGACTACCCAGGTGTGCTACTATTTACAAACTGTATTTTAGAATAATATAAACATTTTCAAAGTAGTTAAATTAATATATCCAGTTATGATGTAAGCAAAATTTATTAAGATAATTTTTAAAAATCTAATAATAAGGGGGTTTCTTTAGTGTTAAAAGAATACATATTTAGTTTTTGTCCTTAGCAATTAAATGTAATTATTATGCACATATATTTTAATTTGGCTTATCTTATGACTTGAACAATAAGAGATTTCCAAAATTAGACTATTTAATTTGTTGCTAGTTTTGTTCATTTCTGCTCTGGTGGACAGGCAGATAATAATGGATTACCTAACTGGCAAACTGTCAACTTATTTCTTTTCTTAACATTCCATAGCTAAGGAAATGATCGTAGAATTTTAAGGCATTTTGAATTAAAAGACATCACTGACAATTTACCAACTTTCTCCCATGAGTTGGAATCCCTCTGGGAAGTCTCACAGGTCTCTCAAAATCTTTTCAGACATGAGAATCCAGTTTGCTACAAAGTGTCATATGATAATCACATTTAAAAAAAACCCTCAAAGTGTCTAGATAGAAATGATGCATCTTAGAATTTTGAATTTTTTCCTGTAAGAATTTTTTATAAATTATACACAGTACATCATATTGATTAGTCATGAGTAAATTCTTGTGGGTTATGAAATATGTTTGATCTCTGAAGAGCAGTTGAGGTAGATAAGACAGGACTCTCGGAGGATAATGATAGAGTTTGTGTATTCAATCTATTACAGTCCACTCTAAAAATATAATTGCACTCTTCCCTGCAGCTTCATCCACATGGAGATTTAAAACATGTTTATAGGATGCAGCTTCACATCAGAAGCACTTTCCAAGCACTAATGCTGCAGTTGAAAGGCTTATAACAAACATACCACAACGTAAAATAATGTTTTCAATGATCACAGTACCAGATAAAGGAATAGAGACTACACTTATTTTAAATGTTACCGTAGCTGCTTTAAATTGGACTTCACTATGGACAATTCTTTGTTGATTCTCAGTCATTTGAATCAGATTGATACTGACAGGCAATTGGAATTATTTGATCCCTTGAAATAACTAGTTCACATGTCACTCCTATCAGCATAGTGGCAACTTTTTGTTCTTAACTTGTTTTGAAAGCTATATATAGCTAAGTGCTGTCCAAAACTTTTTATTTGGGGAACAGAAGTAGAAGGGAGTAAGAGACAAGTCAAGGAAGCATTGCATATTTCTACAAGTATTCTATCAGCATTTGCCTACTAATACAACTTATAGGAAAATAATGTATTTCAGCATACATTGCATGTGAAACATGACTACTTTTGTCCTATTTCCTTGTAGTCTTTGTGTCTTGAGATGCTCTGTGATGAACGAGCTTGAGGAGAAAGTCACCAGTGGTGATTCACCACCACCAGGGTAAAAGGCTTTCAGTGACACAGTGAAGTCAAGTTTCAGGGCGCAGTTACAGCTACTTCTTAGAGTTTTATCACCAAAACAATATTCCACACCAAACTTCATTATTATCTCACACAAATAAGGAGATCGCCTTTTGGTTTTATGAAATTGTCAAATAATGGTCACATTGGCCTAGAATAGAGACAGAACTACATTTTCCTCAGTTTGCTTCTTTTACAAAATTTATGTCCAAACTATGTCTTTATGATACTTACAGGGAATATGAGTTGCTGTTATTCTCTACATGTGACCTCCACTATACACAGTACTCTTGAGGCACTCATTTTGATTGTTCAAACACTCTACTTTAAAAAGAAAGTAGAACACAACGTTGGCATTGGATATGTTCATATTTCTTTTTCTTATTTGGTGCAGTTTTTATAGCTTTGGTATTTTATACGATTATCTAAAATAGGATCTGATAGTTCAGCATTAAGGAAGTCCATACAAGTTCTTATGGGATGGGAGATGATTCTTGTGTGTGTGTGTGTGTGTGTGTGTGTGTGTGTGTGTGTGTGTGTGTGTGTGTGTGTTTTGTGTATTAGAGTAGTGGCTGTTACCATGGCCCTGTTTTGTTGTGCCAGAAAGCTCTATAAAATGTGAAAAAACCCTCAGTGGGAGTAAAGGTAACAGGTAGAATGAATGCATTTTACTTCTAAATATCCACTGGAAGAATGCAAATGTGGTGCTGTGATCTACTTACAAAAGAAGAGAACTTATTTTTATATAGAAAAATTTGATTTGGTGGAGCACAGCACAGGTTTTTTAGAAAGTGCTGACATGTGAAATGGTGCTGAACTTTTCCAGTTGTGTTGCAGAGAATGTGTAATATCTTGCATGTTGCAGTGCAACTTTATTTCTTTGATTTATGTACAATTTTGTAATTAAAAACAATAAGAATAATGATAAGGTCAGGCTGTGTAGAAGTAGAGGGAGAAAATTTGGCTGCAGACTGCCGCTGCCTGGCTCTGGGCTTCCCTTTTAAGTTTTTAAGCCACTGAAGGTCAGTTTAATTAGAAACTGAAGCCGACTTGAGACCTTCCTGTTTTCCTGCATATATAAAGAGAGTGTCCAGCATTAAAGGACTTTCTGTCTAGGGAAGTCCCCTCCCCTTTCTACTTAAATATGTTTATATTTCTGCACTAATTAATGGTTTTACTTTGCAATCATTTTAATGTTAAAACCGGATGTGGTATAAAACTAGGCTTAGTGGATGCATGATTATTTTGTTCCATGGACTGAAGCCTCATTTTAGGATTAGAAGGAGTACCACAGTGCAAATGTTGATTTTCTTGTTTTACTGAAAATAAAATTTAAATTTCTTTAGATAAATTTGCTCCTAAACTCTTGATCCAAATGCTACAAACCTCAGCAATAATATGTTACATTCTTATGACTCAAAGCTTGAATGACAGACGAGTAAAAAAAAAAAAAGTCCATGTGTTTATTTTATCACTAGTATTATTTTGGTACTGAGAATCAAACTTAGGGCTTCCCACATGCTCAGCAAGTATCTTACCACTTCTGGTACACCGACCCCTTTGAGTGGCCCTTCCTTCTCCCCTCCCCCTCCTCTCCTCTCCTCCTTCCTCTTTCCTGCTCCCTTCATCACCTTTCCTTATTGTCCACTTTCTTTCCTAAGTTCTGTACACCCATGGTTTTGGACCAAGGTACCCTGTAAAATATGATGGATGAAATAAGTGTGTGTATGTCTTGTGTTCTCCTTGTCTCCCTCCTGTCCCCCCTCTCTCTCTATGTCACTTATTTTAATGTGTTTCTTAATGGATCTGTTTGAGACAGAGCAATAAAACTGGTGTGTTTACGCAGCAGCAAGTTCAGCTTACTTGCTTTAGTTCTCTGGAAGGGTGTGACATGAAAAGATTGCGGCTGGGCCACATGGTTCATGCTGGACTGTGTTTTTGTGAATGGAGGCAGAAATCCAGTTCTGCCTGCTTGTCTTGAGGAAATGCTGAGGAGATCAGCTGTCTCATTCACGGGTAGAAAGAATGAGTCATACATCTTCCGCCTTGTTTGGCTCCAGGTCATTGTTACAGTGGATAGAACTGGTTTTAATTAAATATTAACCCCTTTAATACTTGACATTTGTTTCATTTGTAATTTTCCCAACTCCCTCCGCCCCCGTTGGCTTTAAAAGAAAACTCATCAGACAGCTGTTTGTAGGAATAAGAGGGTTTTTACTTGCCTGCAGCTAAATTTGAAAAAATTTTAAACGTTCACTATTTCTTAAGCAATGAATATTGTTTTATTTAAAAGTTGGAAATCGGCATAAAGTAAAAGCAAGCTGTATTTAAAACTGCTCTTCCCCAGGGCACTGATGCTTAAGAACCGATAGTAAAGTCTGAAAGTAGGGCATTGATTCTGTGACATTTTGGTTGCGATTAATACTTTTATAAATTTCTTTCCTACAGTGCGGCTGTGTCCTAGCAGGAAAGAGTATTAAAGAGCAGCATTGGATAGGAAGCTAGAGGAAGCCAAAAGCTGAGAGTGCGGCTACTATCCCTTTAAAGCAAAGATTCAGAGACTCAATTGCAACTGGTCCATTAATGTGCAATGAACTGATAGAGTTGCTTCAGCTATTACCAATAAAATCTACGTGCTCAGTGTTCAGGAAAGCCTTTTACTGGTCTTTGCTATATATTTTCTCCCCTTCTCCATTCTTTTCTTCTCCTTCCTCCTTTATTACATTGTGTACTGAAACATTTTCATTCCCCAAAGACGATCACTTCAAGCATAGTTTAGACTAGACAGTAATGTAATAAGAAAAACATTTAAAAATAATTAGATTGGCTTATATTGTTAATTTTCAACTTTGGGTTTGGTATGGCTTGCAACAATATTTCAGGCAGCTGTAGTCTGCTCCTTCATAGAATTTTTGTGAATTAAAGAAGAAAATGCATGATACAAGTGTGATGATACTGTGTCATAGTTTCCTTGCCCAAATCCAAGTTGTGTTTTTAGTTAAACGCTTTCCTTTTACTCCAGCTTGAAGTTGGAGGTAGACTTAAGCCTTTGTCTATTTCAGTAGCGTGCTGCTTCGTTCAGTCTATTCAGTTTCTCAAGATTAGCTTCTGTGAAAATGTGAGTCATATGTTTTTTGTTAAAATTCTGTAATATGTTCAAGCATAAGTGTGAAGTACTTATTCAGTATGCTAAGGAGTTAGAACAGAAATAGCATCCTTCATCCTTACTCTTTTTACAAATTGTTAGTATGGAGCTATTTTCTCTGTACTGTGAGGTGCACCTTCTCGATTCTTCTGTCCCTTAGGTATTTTCCCTAGCCCCATACATAGGCCAGCAACCAGCACATACCACACACCCACTGGGGCCTTTCATGCTGCTCCTCATGCGATCTGTTCTATGGAGCTGCAGCTCTGTCCTGCGAAACTGAGGAAAAGGTCTGGCTGAGCATATCTGTGCAAGCATATTAAATTGTGAATAACTCATTACCTATTTTCAACCATTCCTATAAATAAACATTAGATTTTCATTAGATTATTGTAAATGATACTTTATTTTATTTTATTTTGTTTGTCTGCTTTGTGCCACTACACTGGAATGAAGGTTGACTTTAAATAAAAATGATGTCATTATTTTATGTGTATGAGTACTGTGGCTGCAAGTATGTCTGTGCACCATGTGTGTGCCTGGTTCCCATGGAGATCGGATCCCCTGGAACTGGAATTGCAGATGGTGTGAGCCACCATGTGGGGTGCTAGGTGCTGGGAATCGAACACGGGTCCTCTGAAAAAGCAGCAAGAGGTCTTAACCACTGAGCCATCTCTCTGGTCCCTAATGTTAGCTTTTTAAAAGCATATTTTGTACCTCAATTGTTACATCTGTTTCACTTTTTGTTCTTTGGTTTTGGTTACCCTGGGTAGCCCTGGATGTCCTGGAACTCACTCTGCAGACCAAGATGGCCTCAAACTCAGAGATCCACCTGCCTTTGTTTCTCATGTGCTGGGACTGAAGGTGTGTGTCACCACACCTGGCCTGTGTTTGTTTAGCTATTAATTTAGAGGAAAAATTAAAATATGGATATATTTTCTAAAAGGTCAGGATTTGATTATTTATTTGCTGTTATTAGATATATATTAAAACATTTGTAATTATTTTATATGTAAAAGGACATTATAAAGTACATTTCTTCATGTGTATAAGCAGAAAGTCAAAAACTGTGTTGTCAGTAGCAAAAATACTTTGTCACCAGCTAAGAGAATGCTAATTCAACACCTTTCTTCTCCTCTTGTCAGTTTTTTTTTAATTTTTTATTTTTTGAGACAGGGTTTCTCTGTGTAGCCCCGGGTATTCCGAAACTTGCTCTGTAGACCAGGCTGGCCTTGAACTCACAGAGATCTGTCTGCCTCTGTCTCTTGAGCGCTGGGATTAAAGGTGTGCACCACCACCACCCATCTTGTTCAGTCATGTATGTTAGACATAAAAACACTAAATTGGCCACGGTAATGCTTGTGAGTGCATTTGTGAGTGTGACTTTTTGGGTGGTGGTGGTAGAGATTGTAAAGGAGAGTATATCTAATATCCAATTATCTGGGATCATACTTAAACTACTCCATTTATTGGTTTAAAAAATCCCCTTATTGTTACAACAAGTTGCAGTGTTGGGGTGGCAAGTCATCAGTCTGTGAGGTAAAATTTGTCTGACTTGAAAGTTGTTAAACATAGCATCAAATACCGGTGGAATAAGAAGAAAAACTTGCTTCTAGCGTGGGCTGATCAAGTTGGTACCAGTTGTGACTTGAAATTGCTGTTGGTTATTTATTTGTTTTTTATTGGCAGTAGGGAATGGTGTGTCTTCCTTAAACTACAGGTGTGAGGGAAAAATGGTGTGTCTTCCATAAAATATTGGTATTAGAGAACAACTCTGTGGTATATACATTTTAATATTAGGCAAAACTATCCTGAGATAGTTACATTCTTGACCAAGGTAACATATGCTTTATTCATCAAAATGTTTCCATTTACAAAGATAAACATAGAAAAGAAAAACCTATTGAGACTGTCTTCTGTTTTTACATGGAATTATATCATGAAATTCATTTTTTTAAAATATGGATTTTTTTCTTAAGTCACTTATCAGCCTGAAACATTTCAACAGAGAGTGATCATTGCTATTGTTGTTGTTGTTGATATTTGATTTTTAAGACAGAGTTCCAACTTGCAGCCTAGGCTAGCCCAGAGCTCACTATGTGCCTCATGCTAGCCTCACATTATGGATGAGTCTCAGCCTTCCAAATGTGGCAATTACATGCCGGCTAAGACTGATTATTTTAATTAACATTCCCCACACAGAATAAGTTCATTCAAAAAAAATTTGATTGACATCTGTTTTAATATGACTTGATCGGATAAAAATTTACAGTATTATACAATATTAGTAAAGTGATACTAGCTAATGAGATCACATTGAGAGCTAATAAGGATGACAGTTCATTACATGTTCACCAAGTTACAAGTAACCTGATTTCTGTTCTGTGTAGTTTGTTTCTCAGTAATATCCTACGAGATTGAATAGGTTACTTCACTGTCCACATCTAAGGCAGTAAACGCTGCAAGGTGAAGGAATGCACTGGCACTTTCATTGCAGCCGAATGTGTTATGTTTGCCCAATTAGTCCTTTTCCTTTAATAAAACCGGAAGTCAACTGACCATAGGGGCTGACAAATGGCGAGATTCCTCAGTGCTGACTAGCATAGCCAGGAAAATATTTTGCATGAAAAGATGACATTTGTTTTATTGTTTGTTATTTTTATTGTGAATACAATTGTTAAAATATATTGCTTTGTTGCATGTGGCCCAAGCCAATGACGGTTTTTTCGTTTTTAAAGCTTTATAGCTTGCTTTGAACAAATTTAGGGCAAATATGTTTAATTATGGTAGTTATTGGCAGGAGACAGAACTTACCCAAAGAGATCATTTCAAAACGTGGGGGATTTGTATGATTGCTGCACAACACTTGAAAAAAAGTCTTCATAGTTCACTGCGATGGTCTGCTTAAGCACCAGCAGTGGGTGAATGCACATGCCTTTAGCACAACTTCTGCAAGATGCATCCGTGCAGGATACAGGAATCTGCACCTTTTATTAGTCATCTCTTTAATTCCATCTGGCAGGTGAGCTTCAGAGGGATCATACCTGCCACCACGGTATTTCTGACACACGCATGTTTTCCAGTTGCATCCATGGACCTTTTAGTTTCCTTTTCCAATGCTGTCAAGACTGCTTTAAAGAGGAGGTTATTGGCAAATAATCACAGGCCTGAGCTCCATCAAAATAGGCCTTGCTTGACACATCTGACTTGACATTCCTTATGTCTTGGCAGTTCCTCTCTTAATTTTTAAACACTTTTTTTTTTCTTCTTCAGCTCAGGTACCTGACAATGATGAGCAGTTTGTGCCAGACTATCAGGCTGAAAGTTGTAAGTACAGCATGACTCATCTCTTGTGTTTCCCTTTGTCTGTCTTGTTTCTTTCATTCATTCTCCATGGTTGGATTCCTCTTCTAGTGTCTGTCTTTGCACTGTGCCAGTGCTGTGTCTGGCTTCCAGTCACGAGGTGTTTTTATTTGTCAGGTTTTGACATCAGCAGACTCTGTGCACGATCTGAGCGAAGCTTCCATGGGTGGGCAAGGAAGGCCGAACTGTTGGGATGCAGGCCCCGTGCTCCATACTGAGTACATTTCCTTGGAGAGGAAACAGGGTGTGTTAGTCGAATGTGCAAGTGTTTACTTAGTTTAGCCAATGCGGTCACAAAGAAAAGCCTGGATGCTGATGGGAGGCAGAGTAAAAACCCACGTGAAATTAGTTATCCTATAAGTTGTAAAAAGACCTTGGCTCGACATCCTTGGTTAATTGTACTCTGTATCCACAAACTTTCACCTGCTTTGGTGTACTTTTTAGCCTGAAGTTTTCAGCTTCCAGGTTGCAGCAGCACAAACAGAAGTAGCCATTGGCGTCTTACAGCATCTTTGTGTTCCTACCCCTGAGCCTTGCTCCAGGGCCCGTCAGAACGCAGGAAGAGTGATTCACCGATACTTGCCCTCCCTTAATTGCAGAGTGAGCATTTTGCCTGCACAAACATAGTTGCCCCAGGGTTTACTGCTGATATTTATACTCTGCAATTCTAGCACTAACCGAAGCTACTGACCCGTGAAGTAAATCCAAAGGAGAAGCATAGTTACTCCTCATCCCCCCAGGGACGTGTTCCAATAGCACTGGTGGATTCATGTCTCCATGGATAGGTAGCCTTGGACCTTGTATTCTAGAGACTGTTTTCTCATTGTACATACACCTCTATGATAAAGCTTAATTTATAAATTAGTCACAGCCAGAAATTAACAGTGGTAATAATAAACTAGAACAATCATAACAAAGTTCTATCATTAAATCTATTTAAAATTATAAATTATTTCAAGAACTTCCCTTTTAATATCTGGCCTGTGGCAGGCAGGCCACAGAAAACTAAGCTTGTAGAAAGTGAAACTGACTGTGAGTGAGAACATTATGCCATAGTATGAAACTTGTCTGATGTATTCTTTTTCTTTTCAGTGCTGTTTAAAACTCTAACCTGTTTTGTGTGTTCAGACTGTTAACAGTATCAGACGAGTAGATGTCAATGGGTACAAGAGATTATTACTAGCGTACACCTCATGAAACCCATATTGTAGACCTTGATCTCCCAAGCACCTATATTACTTTAAGTAACAGATGTTTGCTGGAAATGTTTGTTTTCCATGTCTGTTATCTGTTTGGCATAGAGCGTAGTTAGAGGTTTCTCAAGAATAAAAGCCACTTAAGAGGTCAAAAGAAGAAAAGGTATAAAAACATGACCTCCAGGTAGTCTGTTTGCTCTCACAGCTGCTGGGGTACTAGAAGCTTCATTCATTAAGTGATCGATTTCACTTGTAGGAAAAAAAATAATTCAAATTCCTCATAGTATAGCCTGGTTTTTAAAAGTGTTGTAGTGACATGTACATAAAGCAAATTCTATCATTTCAAATGATCTTAAATGTAGAGTTCAATGGCATTAAGTACGTTCTGATTGCCGGACTATCATCAGGACAGTTCAGAATTTTCAATTAGCCCGAAACCCTATACTCACAAAGCAAGAGCTCTGTCTCCTCAGCCCCTGCAGACGTTCTTCCGTCTCCTTTATTTTGATCGAAGAAGAGAATTTGTTGTGTTGTTTGGTATCTGGGTACAAGTATTTCACATATCTCTGAAACATATTCCTGAGACTTCAGCCTTAAAAACTAGAGACCTTCCAAACTCTCAGAAGGACAATGGCTAAGGACAGCAGCGATGAAAGGCCACACTTCCTGGGGAAAGCATGGGAAGGGGATGGTCATGTTTCTACCACTTCCTTTCCTGTGAAGGTTCTTGAATTTTTTTTTCTACAAGCTCAACCTGTCCTCTGAGTGAATGAATGAAGTCTCATTGGATCATTTCGTATCCTAATAAATTGGTGAGGATTTCAGTACTGCACCAGCTGTCAGGATAGAACACAATACCTGAAGGTGATTCTTATTCCTGTTCTTATTCTCTGTCTTTATCAGCTTTTATTCTTGAGTGTTTCATCCGTCAAACCCTCAGTGACAGCAATGTGACCCTTCTCCTCTCTTGCTCCCTGCTGGTCCTCTTCTTCCTCCACCCACTGTCCGTCTGTTAAGCTGATGATGTGTGGCTAGTGGGACCACAGAAGTGAATTTTTTACTTTCAGTTAAATTACTTTCATTTGAGACTCACATGAGTGTTGGTTAGTGTACTGATCAGCAAGGCTCTGAGCAGCCACACCCACCATGCTGTTATTTCCATCTCCTATCTTTTCTCTGCTGTCTCCTCCATCTTCTCCCCTAATGCCCCACAAGGATCCTCTGGAGGATACCTCTGGAATCTCCCCTCACCTTCTACTGTGTATTGGTGAAAAACACTGTTTAAATCAACATGAAACTCTATAGAGAGTTCACATTGGAAAGATGAATGTTTTACAGATTCGCACTTTTATTTTTATTTATATTTTTGAGATAGGTCTTATAAGTTTCCAAGCTGGCCTCAACTCACTATCATGGATGATCATGGAGGATCTCGAACTTCTGATTTTTCCTCCACCTCACAAATGCTGTGATTACAGGCATGCGCCACCCCGCCTGGCTGAAACAAATGTGTCTCTGTAGATCTGCTGTCTTTCTAAATGAAGAGACATTGCTGTCCAAGCTGGAAATTCTTGGTTTGCATTGTCCTTTCAGTTCTTTGCAAAACCCTGCAGTTACTGAGTTCATTCTGTCTCTCAGAAGCATCTCAAATCTCTGACCTGTGTCATCCCCTGTCCCCTGTGCTCCTGGCCCCTCAGGCGGCAGCTGCCACAGAGGTTGGGACCAGGTTGGAGGTTGGTTTTCTTGTCTGTGCTCCTTCCTTTCTTCCAGCCTGCCCTTTGCATCCACACACACTTGACTGGCCTTGTTAATTTTCTCCTTGCACCTCTGGCTGGACAAAGTCCCGAGGCTTGAGCGCTGCAGAAAATTGTTCTATAACCCAGGCCTCGACCTTCTTTTCAACTCAGCTCTTGACTTTTGTGCCTCCAGTTCTCTGTCCCCTCCAGCTGTCTCTACACCTTAATCGTTTTCACTTTTCAAGTCTTCAAGCGTGACACAGTTTTTATGTCTCCTATTGCTTTAAAAAGATTTCACTGTGAGCTTTCAGTGGTCTTAGTTCACACTGAATTCAAACTACATCTTGTCCATCTTTCTTGGTTCTTGCTGCTCTGTCTTACAGCGTTACCCTACAACATCATGTGTCTCGTATCTACTGGATTAGAGAATTGTAGATTTCTTCTGTTTCTTTCTTTTTTCTTTTTTTAAGAGACATAGTAGTCTCACTACTTACTATTCAGCCTGTGCTAGCCGGGAACTCAGTATGTAGACCAGACTATTTTCAAACTCAGACTCAGTATGTCGACCAGACTATTTTCAAACTCACAGAGTTTGCCTCTGTCTGCCTCTGCCTTCCTTGTGCTGGCATTAAAGGGGTGAATCATCATACCTGGTCCAGGGATTGTGAATTTCTTAAGAGTGAGGGTCATATTACATTCAATGTGACTGGCACGTTACAGATGCACGAGAAGTAAAGACAGTTATCCTAATCATCTTAATGTTACTTTAACCACTGAATATTGGCAGGTTAATGAGACTTTGAGACTTACAAGTGAAACGTCTTTCTTTATAAAAGAAATGTAAACAAAGGGTAAACATAATTCTGAAATGGTTTAATAAAACTCAAGGCATAGTTTATTTCAAGTTTTAACTGATGTAACAAACTATTTGTTCAGCTAATTCTGTCCAGCTAATTTCCACTTGCTGCTAAGAAGAGAACAAGACAATGACTTGGAGAAAGGAGTAGAGTAGTTGGGCTTGGAGTGAAGGAAGGATTTCTTCGTAAAGACGCTCTCAGGAACTAGACTGGAGAGGTCATGTGGTCTCTGAAGAGCATTCTGTCTGGGGATGCTCAGTGGGACAGGCTTTTACTTCTAGGAACAGGAAGAAACTGTTCACTCCAAATGCGACCAGTCATTTCTACATTTGCCCAAGATGAACATAGATAATTGTGTTTCCTTACAGACCTCCATGAACTAAGACATTTCTGCATTTGTCTTTATTGCTACAGTCCTTTGGCAAAGCAAGGCTAGCCAAGTTAACAGCAAACTTTTCCTCTTTAGTCACACCATAGAGCATCCATGGGACTATGCCATATTTAAGTACAGACAGAAGGTGAGAGAAGAGAAATTTCAAAATTGTGAACACATATAAAACTATAACCCTGGGTTGGGGATTTAGCTCAGTGGTAGAGCACTTGCCTAGCAAGCACAAGGCCCTGGGTTCGATCCTCAGCTCAAAAAAAAAAAAACTATAACCCTTGGGACTTTCTAAAATATTTTCTGAACATTTCTTATTTTTATTGACAAAATATTTGAATTAGAAATCTGGAACCCAATGTTATGCTGTTACTTGCTAATTTTTGAGAATTTCTAAATCTTGAAACAAGGATAGGCATTAAAGCAAATAAAAGCAAATAACTTTTAATTAATTCATTCCAATAAACAAATGATTTGGATACATTATTTGTTTTGTACCAATATGTTTCCATAACTTAGACATGTGTGGAAACACATAATCCCTTTTGATACTCATTAACTTTAGGGAGGAACTATTAGTGTATCTCTTTAGAAAACGGACTTCCATGGGCATTTTAAATGTAATGAATGCATAGTTAGCAACATGTCTCAGAGGATGAAGATACTTGCTTCCCGGTCTGATGAACTGAGTTCTATTCCCAGGATACACATAAGGGAAGGACAGAACTGACTCCCAAAAGGATGTCCACATACACTGCATGTGTGCATGCACAGACACACATACACACACACA